CAGATGAGGCCTCACCAATGTCGAATAGAGGGGGACGATCCCGTCCCTCGATCTGCTCGCTATGCCCCTACTTATACATCCCAAAATGCCATTGGCCTTCTTGGCAACAAGGGCACACTGCTGACTCATATCCAGCTTCTCGTCCACTGTCACCCCTAGGTTCTTTTCCGCAGAACTGCTGCCTAGCCATTCGGTCCCTAGTCTGTAGCTGTGCATTGGGTTCTTCCGTCCTAAGTGCAGGACCCTGCACTTATCCTTATTGAACCTCATCAGATTTCTTTTGGCCCAATCCTCCAATTTGTCTAGGTCCCTCTGTATCCTATCCCTGCCCTCCAGCGTATCTACCACTCCTCCCAGTTTAGTATCATCCGCAAATTTGCTGAGAGTGCATCCACACCATCCTCCAGATCATTTATGAAGATATTGAACAAAACCGGCCCCAGGACCGACCCCTGGGGCACTCCACTTGACACCGGCTGCCAACTAGACATGGAGCCATCGATCACTACCCGTTGAGCCCGACAATCTAGCCAACTTTCTACCCACCTTATAGTGCATATGTCAATATATAACAGTCTTCTGCTTATTTTATACTTTTTCATCCATGTACACATTAAAGACCTGATCCTGTAAACACTTATGTATGTGCATAACTTTACTCAAGTGAGTAGTCCCTTTGAAGACAAAGAGCCGTGCAAGATGTAGTTCAATGAGCAAAATATCTCAAGAGCCTTTTCCTGCTCTCCTTTATCAGGCAAACATTAATGGAATTAAAAAAATCTGGAACTGGGCTCCAAATCTGCATGCTGAGTCTTAACTCCCTCCCAGAACTAGTCCTCAGGAAAATAATACCAATAAACTCATTCTTACTGCATCCAGTAGGCCATACATAGGCTGCTCTCAGTTACACCCATGCAGTACAGCTGAACTCAGCTGTAGGTGTAACTGAGAGCAGAACCTGGTCTCTTTTGATCAGAGCTTCACTAATGCAACTTCATTGATCACAAATCAGCCAAAACAAGACTGCTATAGTCATCTCTGCTGTCCATCAGTAGTTTAGCTGGTCTCACAAAATGAATGTAATATTTCTAAGCATCCCTTACGCTGTTAAACCTTTCTCCCTCTAAAACTCCTTTTACTATCCATTTCCCTTTGTTTTATTTTGCTAGGCTCTTTTTATTGTTTTTCCTACCCTTCCTTTTTAGACTCTTTCCCAGAAAATCATGGTCTGATTTTAAGTCCAGAAGCTGTCTCAACAGAGGGAAGTTGAGAAACTGTGTGTGAGGTTTTTTAACCTGCCAAGCATTTGCTGCTGAGGAATCATTTCTAGTTATAGCGCTTTCTGTTGTTCTTTGGGGAAGCTTTAGTCACCCTTCCTCTCCTCCATCTGCACAGGGTTAATTTCTCAGATCCCTCTTTGATGAGTGCACATGTCATATTTTCCTTATCTTTCCTGTTGGACATTACTTTCTGCTGAGGAATATCCTTTCTTTACTGTATAGCAATTATTCTGGTAGCTATCACTATAACTAAAATGATGAAATATTTCCTGTTTTTTTTCACATTCTTCTAACTTCTGGCCTGAAACTTTCCATGCTTAGTCTTAGCCCAAAATCAAGTGCTCACCAGAGACCAACATATTTGTATTTTATCGAATGAAACTTGTGGGCCTGATTCACCCCTGTGTTAGTCCATTTTTACTCTAATGTAAGTCCATTAATTTCTAAAGCTTGTCCCTTAGGTCTCAGTTCAGCAAAGGAGTTAAGCATCTGCTTAAAGTTAAACGTGCATAAATCCATCCCTGTTCAGTAAAGTACTTGAAGCCAATGGGATTTAAGCACAAGCTTAAAAATAAACACTTGTTTAAGTGATTTGCTGAATAGGATTAGACTTATGCACATGCTTCAGTGCTTAGAGAGAGAGTGCAGAGCTGGTCGCATTTTCTTCATTGTTTGAGAAATGGCCGAAAAACTTTAAAATGTCAAAATTGGCAAGGAAAGAGTTATAATTCCTGTAGAGGCTATCCTGTCAGCTAAACAGGGCCAGATTCAGTGGCATGCTATCTAGGTAATTATAGGTCCCTAATATCATAGTACCTGCATGCTACCCAAACTGTAACACATTTGTCCTCGCAACACCTTGTGAGGTAGGGAAGTGAAGGGACAGGGGTACTGAAGTGCAGAGAAATTAAATGACTTGCTTAACATTGCCCAGGAAGTCTCTGGCAGAGCCAAAAACTGAACTCTGCTCTCTTGAATTGCAGTCAGTACGTTAAGCCACAAGACCATCTGTGTTCCACAGAGAGGGGCTTCCCATCTGTGAGGGGGTCACCCCTAGTCATGTATGCTAAGGGTTCTAAAGAGTCTGCAAAGAAATACAGTGTGTCAGCCTTGCTTCATACCACGAGTCAATTTAAGGGGTCTAGCTAGGGCATTTACAAGCCAAGCAGCTCAAGGGCTTTTTGTGCATAGCTCTATAATAAACCCTCTTTAGGATGAGCTGCATCAACTGCTTTGTTCCTTTGTGGCAGAAAAGAAACCATTTATGTTGTCAGAATATTAAAGCTACAGCTGCTAGCCAGCCAAAGATGTTTGGTCCATGATGCCTTTTGTTGTGACTTTTTTTTCTTAATAACTGGTTTCATTACTATCGGCCAAACAAATTGTTTTCATTCCTGGAATAGATGTATGCCCCATCTGGCACCTATGTGGTAATTTCATGTGAAACGCTGGCAACATCTCCAGAATGTACAAGACACAGATAAGAACTCAAGGCCAGATGCAGATCATTTACACCTGTGTAAATCTGGAGTCCACCACTTCAATCAAGAAATGCTTTACTAGCACTTTTCTTAAAGTAATTGAATTGGAACACTTCACTGGTTGCCAAGGAAAATTCAGCAACATATATGGCTTTAGTTTAATGACGCAGTAAAAAACCCCTCCTTTTTGCCCATTATAAGGTATCTGATTGATCCCTTATAACGAGAATCCACCTTTGACGAAGTTGGGATATAAGTAATTTCCTGTTTCAGCAAACCAAGAGAAAAGTGCCCCTTTTTGGAAAGAAAACAAAATTGGGCCAGACCCCCAGCAAGTGTCACCCTTACAGCTGCAGAGGCGTCACTGGAACGAAGTTGATTTACACCAACTGAGGACCTAGCCCACTGTTAATTTTGTTTTTTTGTCTTTGTACAATAAACTCTTTAATAAGGACCAAATTCTGATAGCCTTCTGCATGTTGCCTCACTCTATGAGCAGAGCTATTGAAGTCAGTGGGACTCCTCATGGAGCAAAATGTTACTCAAGAAGAGCACGGGTGTTCAAATCTGGCCCTAAGAAGTCTGGACTGTTTAACTTTTCTGAGCCTCAGCATTCCTCATTGTAAAAATGTGTGTGTCAGCGTGGAATAAACCCCTGAACTTTAAATCGCCAGACTATGACCTTGATATTCCAGATCATATTTTTAGCAATTTAAAACAAAACAAAACAAAAAACCCCAAGAAACTTGGCTCCCTAGCATTTTAATTGCACCCTTTCGCCTACACAGACGTCTGGCTCTTCTCTGATTTCTGCCACAGGCGTCCAATAAAACCTATTTCAAACAGGACTGGAAGACAGAAGCTGTAACATCCCAAACTCAAAAAGAAAGAATAATACTTTGCACTTCTATAATGTCTTCCATCGGAGTATCTCCCAACAGTATTGAGTTCACCTGCTTAACACCCCATTTTGCACGTGGGAAAACAGATGCAGAGAGATTAAGCAATTTGGCCAATATCAAAAATGATAAAAAGGTCAGAAAACCTGACCTAGGAGGAAAGGTTAAATAAACTGGGCATGTTTCTTTTTGAGAAGGGCAGACCTGATCAATCTTCAGATATGTTAAGGGCTGTGATAAAGAGGACTGTGATAAATTGTCTATTTTAGATAGTCATGGAGAAGTAATCAGTTTAATCAGAAACAAGGGAGATTTAGTTTATATATTAGGAAAATATTTCTAACTATAAAGGTACTTTAACACTGGAATAAGCTTTTAAGGGTGGTTGTGGAATCCCCATCACTGGAGATTTTTAATAACAGGCTGGACAAACCTCTGTTGTGGATGATCTAGGTTTACTTGGTCCTGCCTCAGTGCAGGGGGCTGGAATTGATGATCTCTCAAGGTCCCTTCCAGCCCCACGTTTCCATGATCATACAGGAAGTCAGTGGCAAAGTGAGGAACTGACTCCCAGGCCTGTGCTCTAGCCAGAAGACAGTCCTGCCCCTGTATATTAAATAGTAATTTAAATTTTAATATAATCAGCTTTGGTGTTTACTTTCATTTCTATTTAAACAGTACAAAGCAACACATCACAGTGAATGACTCCGAACGATGATCCTGGAAACAAAGGGCTGCAACCTCATCCAGTGTAAATCAGTATAACTATTGACATAGGTGGGTTTGCACTGGCTGAGGATCTGGCCCACAGAGCTCAACCCATTTCCCATACAGGTCAAGATTCCCAATGACTTCAACAGGAACAGGAGCAGGTCCAAACTTACAGGGACATACAAAATGCACTCATTTTAGTCTTGGCTTTTTGTTGTTGTTTTTTTAAGGGACTGTGCCAGATAATTTAGTTTCTAAATATAGGGTTGTTTTGTTTATGGGTTTTTGCAAGACTAAGACTATTAGAAAAATGACATATAAACGTGTCACAAAGACATCTTCATGAGGCTTTTGTAAGTGTGATTGTAAATAGTTTCTTTGTCCAGATGTGAATGCTCCCCTGCAGTTTCTGCAACTCAAAGGGTAAAGCATTGTGCTAGCATTGGACAGCCAAAAAGTGATACGCTTGAAGCAGTGAAACTCACATTTATTTCTGATGTCCAAGACCTTGAATGAAATGATAGTGGTATTAGTATTAGAGTTAAAGCTTTTTTTTTTTTTTTTTTTTAAAAAGACATGATTTGACCTGAACGTTTCCCTTTAAGTTTTCCATTTCCTTTTCTCCACAGAAAGTAGCCATACACTATGGGGTTTCCTGAAATGATGCTGAGTGAAGATTTTGACAACTACTCCTATTTCTATGAGTACGAGGAAGATGAACCACCCCAGTCCTACCTCAGTATTGCACACATCATCTCTCTTTCCTTATGCAGCATGGCATTTCTCCTGGGGGTGCCAGGAAATGCCATAGTCATCTGGTTTATGGGGTTTAAATGGGATAAATCAGTCAGTACTCTCTGGTTCCTCAACCTGGCTATTGCAGACTTCATCTTTGTTCTTTTCCTGCCTCTCTACATTACGTATGTGGCCATGGGCTTCCATTGGCCCTTTGGGAAATGGCTCTGCAAGACTAACTCCTTCATTGCCTTACTGAATATGTTTGCCAGTGTCTTCTTCCTGACTGTCATCAGTCTTGACCGCTATATCCGCCTGGTGCACCCAGTCTTTTCCAACAAATATCGGACCCTAAGGAACACCCTCATTTTGAGTGTGATTATTTGGATCTCAGCTGCTATTATTGGTGCCCCTGCCTTACACTTCAGAGACACAATTACAATTCACAACTCCACCATTTGCTATAACAACTTCCATCCGCATGACAAAGAACTCATTCTGATGAGGCATAATATTTTCATTTGGGTGAGGCTTGTTTGTGGCTATCTCTTTCCCCTAGTGACCATGGTCCTTTGTTACTCATTTCTGGTTCTGAAGGTGAAGAAGAGAACCATGCTGACCTCCAGCAGGCTTTTCTGGACCATCCTTGCGGTAGTTGTAGCTTTTTTTGTTTGCTGGACCCCCTATCACATATTTACCGTTCTGGAACTATCTGCTCACCATAATGAACGCTTCCATGACTTGCTTCTCAGTGGCATTCCCCTCTCTACTGGCCTGGCTTTCATCAACAGCTGCCTCAATCCAATCCTCTATGTTCTGATTAGCAAGAAGTTCCAAACCCGTGTCAGGGCGACAGTTTCTGAGGCACTAAAACTTGCAGTCTGGGAGGTCAGCCGGTCTGCAACAGTCAGTGAACAACTGCGAAACTCTGACAACAGCCATCTGGGTGTGCAGTATTGTGAAACCACACAGTGATCAGCTCCAAAAATCTCCCTCACTGCATATAACCAGCACTAGATTCACAATCAAACAGATGTGTATCTTAGCTATGAAAAAGAACAGGGGGTTGATTGCAATCAATTTAATGCTGCACCCCATTTTAGCTGAATTTTTTTTGTTTGTTTTTTTTTAGGATGCAGAATTTGGATAGGATGCTAGTTAGATGCATAAAGGGCCTGAGATAAAGCCTACTGCAATCAATGGGATTTGGATCAGATAGAGGAACATTCCCACTATTAATCCTGTTGGGTAAATTCCAGAAGAGGTGTTTAAAGTGACACCTTCTCAACATAATCATATATAACAAAAATATTCCTCTGTTGAATTACATTACACCTTAGATCCAGGAGTTCTCAGCCTGGAGCTCACTCGCAGCTGTTGGGGGTCATGATCACACCATGCTTCCAATAGTGCTAAATAAGGGGAACTCCTGGTTAGATCCCAGGTAGCTGGAAGGGGGAGGAGGCCCAGTCTGAGTAGGAAAGGGGTCCCAAATATGGAAACGGTTGAACAAGTGCTGTAGATTATTACAACAAAAAGCAACCTGGTCTGACATTGTGGCTTTCTAGTCAGTTTCATTTCCTGGTTGTCCATGTTTTTGATGTCTTACAGCGAAGAGGGGATGTTTTAAATTTTTCCCCCTCTCCTGGAAACATAAAGAAATAATATTTGTTTCTAATTATAGTAGAGATTGGATGACCCCTGCCTCCCTCTACTATCACACTAGGGTTGCCAACTTTCTACTCACATAAAACCGAACAACCTTGCCCCACCCTGCCCACTGCGCCATCCCTTCTCTGAGACCCTGCCCCTGCTCACTCCATTTCCCCTCCCCCCCACTCGCTCTCCCCACCCTCTCTCACTCACTCATTTTCACCGGGCTGACTCGGGTTTGGGGTGTAGGAGGGGGCAAGGGCTCCGGCTGGGGTGCAATGGGGACACGCCTTTGATTCTGGGAGTTGCGCGGCGCCATGGCAGGCACGGAGCCTGCCTTAGCCCCATCGGCTGTGCCACTGACTGGACTTTTAATGGCCTGGTCAGCACTGCTGACCGGAGCTGCCAGGATCCCTTTTCAACCGGGCGTTGTGGTTGAAAACCAGACAGTTAGCCACCCTATACCACCCCCCTCACAAGTAAAGTCAAAAGATAAAATAATTAACATTCTAAAACCCACTGTCCATTATTACGCCTTTCCAATGATGGATAAAATGTATAACCGATATTTTTACATGATTTTTCAGTGGAATGTAAGAAAGGACAGAATTTGATGTTCCTTGGAGCAAGGTCTGCTCACACAGGTAAGGATTTGCAAATGTCCCTAGCCTCTGTTTGCCAGAGGCTGGGAATGGGCAACAGGGGATGGATCACTTGATGATTACCTGTTCTGTTCATTCCTTCTGGGGCACCCGACATTGGCCACTGTCGGAAGACAGAATACTGGGCTAGATGGACCTTTTTCTGACCCAGAATCGCAGTTCTTATGTTCAGATGCCAAGTAAGGGCAGAATTTGATAAAATTATTTTATTTATTGCTTGCTATAGAATTATATATGTATCCATATTTACACAGACACTAAATAGACTAATATTCGTCCTTGATATAACCCTATTGAATTTAGGGGAGTTAATGCTGGGATGAATTTGGCCCTAAGTTTCCTATTAGCTCATGTATACCCAGTAAAGGTATATTTTCAGCCAGCTTGAATACATGCATGTACAAAACTATACATACATTCTTGCCTCAGCGTGTAAGATTAGGGCTGTAACATGGTTATAACACCGTGTGGTCTTGTCCACACAAGTAAAGTTTACAGTGTAGATGGGGCCCTATATATAGATTCATACATAATGTTCTTTTACACAAAATATTCTATCACTTTGAACTATATTTGCACAAATTGAATAGATCAATATTGCCTGCAGCCACATTTTGGTCTGAGTTCATGAGGCCTCATGAGCTGATCAGTGTTAGGCTGGATCAGTACCATCTCAGAAATACACCTAAATGCTACAAAATATGATGTTGCTAATTGGTTAGGTACCACTCTTTCCTGAGTCATTATAGAACTAGTGCCTCAGCAAGGTGTTATGGGCTTAGCAAAGAAGTCAGTAAATAATTTAATTTTTTTTTAAAGCTGTGGAATATTCAAGAGATCCATGCTTAGTATTGTTGGACTATCACAATGGCTTATTAGGAACAGCAATTCAGTGACCCATGGGACAGAAGGACTTTACCAACATGTAGCAAGCTTCTTGAGCTAATGACAACCCTGAAATAGTTATGAGAGGTACAGATTTGAAGTCAAAGCACAAGAATGTCAGTTACTGCCATTGGATGGGGATAAAAAGAACCCGCAACCAGCCCAAGTAATTAATTCACACCAAGGCAAATGTATCATTAACCACTGTATGAGCCACTTCTACAGGAGGAACAGAAGATATCTAAACAAAACCAAGGAGGACACTGGCTCTCTGAGGACAGTGAGATTGATGCTAATGGAGTCTGCATGCTGATCGAAATGACAGATGCTTACTCAAGTCACGGACTACGGAAAAATAGCAGGAGCAGCAAATGCCCGGTGCAGATGGTAGAGCCATCTCAGCAGCTATCCTGGCCACTACAGGATGAACTGTCCTAAGAAGGGAAAGAAGGGCTGTTTGATTGGAAAGCCAGCCTGAGATGTAAGGATAACGACTATTGACAGATGTCTGGATAAGAAGTAGAACAGTCCTCTCATCTGATCAGCTGCTCTGACATTCCTAAGCAGTCTGAGGTTTAGTACTTGGATTAGTTTGTGGCTGTTTCTTTTGCTGATATTATACTTGATTTTTCAATAAAGGGAAGCTGTACAGTAACCACTGGATTATGACTGCTCACAACAGTTTTTACCTTTTAAACTTTTGTAATCCTGACCCCATATCTCTTTCCCCTATTTCTGGTTCTGTTGCACCCAGAATTTACTGTGCCTTTCACTGATCCTTCTGGAGTGCTGTGTGTTGGGGGCAGACATTCTTCTCTTCCTTAGGCTGGAAGAAGGATCTTCATTCTCCAAGACAAGGCCAGAACAATACAGCAGGAGCCTCTGGCTCCTGATTAGACCTATGTGAATAACTGATTTTTGTTTACTAGCAGGTTTCTCCCCCCATCCCCAAATGTACTTTTCAAAATTTTCAGCAAATCAAAGTTTAAAAAAATTTGTTTTTGAAGGTGTGTAAAAATAAAATTGAAGGAAATTTCTAGTCATTTAGAATCAAAATTACACTGAACAGTGTTTAAATGTTTGAGGGATTTTTTTCAACTGGAGCAAATCAGTGCATTTGACACATTGATAATGGTTTGGTTAACATAGGAATCTCCCCCCCCAAAACAGTGTTGGCCAAAAAACTGCCCAGTTCAACTCGAGGCACCTTGCACTGGAGAAAGATGAGGGAGCTTGCCCTGAGGGAGATTGGAACATTAAACAAGCTGGGTTGGGGAAAAAAGGAGCAGCAATTTAGGGTGGTTTGAGAAGGAAGGGGTAGCAGCACCCCCTTGTGTATGCAGATAGCAGTGCTCTCAGCTGCTTCCCTCAGGCAGACAAAATGGTCACGTGTGCTGCAAATATTCTGTGGAACCAAAGAGGGCTAATTTCAGTTTAGGGGTAGAACAATCCACAATAATCCAGATTTTGATGTTACAATGGAATTCAAATACACAGCCCCATCATTAAACAAGAATTGGGGGTTGCTCAGCACTTTGCATCTATTCCAACTGAGGGCAGAATCTGCCCCAGGAATTTATTAAAGATTGGCTATTGACTTACTTTGAGAAGTAGTTTCCTTCATCTTTGGAATTCGTGACTAAGAAATATACCACTTCAAAAAGTTCAGAAAACCAATCAAGCTGTGGTCAACTGGCTTTCCCCAGCTCTATATATGTTATGGCAGGATTGTAGAATATTACTTTCCCAATTATTCCTTAATGCTTCAACAGACCATGTTTACTCCTGTCCAATACCAACTGAGAAACAAGCCCAGAACCCATTCTTTTACACAAGTCTCAATTCAGCCATATTTTCAGAGATTTCATAAAAATCTTCAGTACTTCTGCAGTAGCAGGGTGAGTATTAAAACAGCACCAATCCACCAACAGTGCAGATTAACACTGCAGGTAGCTGGCTGGTGTAATTAGTATCTCCCGAAGTGTTACAATCTGCAAGTCACCCAACTGGATGGATCTATACTTTCAAGAAAACTGTTTAAAGGTCTAAGTAAAAGTTTTTGAGCAGCTGAAGTGTTTTTGATAATAAAAGCAAGATTATTGCAGATAGATGACTAGGGACAGTAGACCTTGTAACAGTGCTCCTGCCAAGCATCATATTTTTGCCCAGTCTCCCTCATTTTTCACAGCACCTGTGAGGATCTTTAAAAAAATGAGTTATGACAGGAACTACTAGGTGGAACATTAAGAAAACACAAGGGAAGAGTCAGCATTACATGTTTTTATACTAATTCTTCCTTACTGGAATTAAAAGATTTTGTTGGGGGAGGGGAAAAAAGGAGGAAATGTGATATGGTTTTATTTAATCATTTGTTGGGACATAGGGCATCCTTTGTGGAGGATAACAAAATAAATCAAAGCATTTGCAACCTTTTTCCTGTACAACAGCCTTTTGAACAAACAGAGCAACAAGTCCTGCCACCCCAGGTAAGCACAGTGTTTCCAACAGAACTAGTAGAAGTGAAGTGGTTAAGATTTTAAAGTAAAATGTCAGGTTTCCACATTAAACCTATCCCAGTTGCAATGAATGACATTACACTGTAGTGCCACTGTTTCAGCCTCCAGGCAACTCAGTGCTTCGCATTACCTAGCACAACAAAAGGGACTATAAATTTCATTAATTGAAGGCTTATGAAGAAAACCCTAAACAGGCAACGTGCAGATTTACATAGTCCTGGCTGAGAAAGCAATTAGAATAAATTCTGGGGAAAACAAAAAAAACCCCACCCCAGGACCTCACATCTATAATGGCCAAGTTCAGCCCTGATACAAGCAAGCTGAACTCTGCTAAAGGTGTATCTGCTTCTACAAGTGTTATATAGAAAACAGAAGTATGCAGTATAAATTCTTGATTGACGTTATAATTCTCATGAGTGCAGCTTAACCATCCTTGGCTTTTTCAGTGTAGTACTCATGGGATATCACATTTTTCCCTTCTGAAAGCAAATGCACTGTGCCACTTAGGGGCATGGGCTTTGACTTCAATTAAAGCAGGTAGTTCCTGTCCAAACAGATTACCTCATTTTGTTTTATTTATAATCTAAAGTAACTGGAGTCCCTATTAACCCTTAATTATACACAAGAATTGGTTCACAAACCCCCAGTATTTCAATTGAATGCTTAAGTAGACTGAAAGGGATATGCTGCCCCTAGTGTTCCCGCTTTGCCTCCGAACTCCATGACATGATTTTACATATGCAGTTCAAAACTGCACTGGCTTTTCACACAGTCATATCACATTGCAACTCATTTGGTATCCATTATCAAACCAAGTCTGGACAGCATTTCTGCATCTTGGATTGTATGTCCCTAGACCCTGCCCCAAAGAGCTCACAATATTAACAAATTTAGCCAAAACACCCCTGTGAAGTAGAGAAGCAGTATTCCCATTTCACAGATGGGGAAACTGAGGTACAGGGCACAAGTGACTTGCACAAGATTTCAGGAGAAGTTCTAGGCACAGAAATCAGATTTTCTGACCTTAACCACCCTTCCTCACTGGTATCTGCATTAGAATGGTCTGTATTATTTACTCCTTACAGAAGTACCAAGAACCAACCCAGATTTCTGTACAGATATCCACTACCATCCATCCTGGGGTAGAGGATCTCAGTTTAATTTAGTTTTCATTTTTACTGTGCAGTTCACTTCAACAGGTGAACAAAAGCTTTTTGAACTGTAATTGAGCTAGATTATTCAGTGATTTGGAATAAGCTACAACAGAGCGATCATAAAATTTCAAGTACTTTTATTCCAAATGTAGCAGGGTTTAGATCTTGTTGAAAGCAGCTACATCCATTGATTGTACATAATCTTCAAAGGCTGTTATTTTCTCTTCCAACATATCTGTACCAACTTTATCATCTTCAACTACACATTGAATTTGAAGCTTCTTGATACCATAGCCAACTGGAACCAGCTTGGCTGTCAAAGAAAGAAATATGTGGTGATTAAGAGAGTCAGTTAACCAAACACCCTATTCAGCAGAGCATCACTTTAAGCACTACTTACACAATGCCAATTAGACCCGTTCAAAATACTGAATTGCATAAAAACACCTGGAAACAAACAGCATACTCCATATACACATCACCTAATCAACCCCATGGCCATTAAACATACACAGACTCAAATGCAGGTTACTTTTGCTTAATCACAAGGGAGATTTGTTTGCTGTTGACAGAGGACCTTCAGATAACCTCAGGAAGTCCACATAGAGGCAGAACTGGGGGAAAACAGGAAGCTGACTAGAAAACATACCCACTCCTCTCCATCACTGAGAAGCTCCTCCCCACAACTCAGCATGAACAATTTTGAGGTCTCTATAAGGAAGGCCAGAGTTTTATTCTAAAATTGAAGTTCAAGTCTCCAGCAATAACCTGGATTTGTGCTGGAAATGGCCCAACCTGATGATCACTTTAGATAAGCTATTACCAGCAGGACAGTGGGGTGGGAGGAGGTATTGTTTCATATTCTCTGTGTGTATATAAAGTCTGCCGCAGTTTCCACGGTACGCATCCGATGAAGTGAGCTGTAGCTCACGAAAGCTCATGCTCAAATAAATTGGTTAGTCTCTAAGGTGCCACAAGTACTCCTTTTCTTTTTGCGAATACAGACTAACACGGCTGTTACTCTGAAACCTACTCTATTACATTTACCAAGGCAGACAATATATAGTAGCACTGCAATCCACAACTTATTAAGTCCTCAAATCAAACTAGACTAATCTACATTTTGGACAGTGATCTAGTTGTCTATTTTTAAGACACCAGTGATCTATATAAAGGCTACTATGGGTCCATAACATACTATGTATTAGTATCTGTATTTTTTCTACATACCATGAAGTTATGCCTTGAAGTATCTCTCTGAATGCAGCATGTTTTTTTTGTTTTTTTTAAACACACACACAACTGTACTACCATCCCCTTGCTCTCACATTCTTGTTTATCTCCTACTTACAAGATCCCCAGACTAAGCCATCTGCCTGAATGCTTCGGACACACTCCTCCAATTTGGCCATGTCCGTCTCATCATCCCAGGGTTTCACATCCAGTAAGATGGATGATTTGGCAATAAGAGTTGGTTCTAAAAAAAGCAAAAAGATGGTGAGGGAAAAAAGAGAAGGCATTATGAAGCAAGAATAAATTAAAATTAAGATATCCTGGACATTTCCCAGGCTATAAGGCATTTCATAAAAGCTGTTTGCAAACCTATACAAAATGCAGCAGCAAAAGAACAGTCAAAACAGATGAACAATAATGCTTTAATGTATGAATCCGTCAATGCAGAAGGCTTTACTCTTTCCAGTCTTACGTAGAAAATCTCTTGTATCAAGATTTGTTGTCATATATTTTTTTTTTTTTTACAAAATTTCCAGTAAATTAGCATAATGTTAAAAGACACATGTACTTCCAACTTCTGTTATAGGAAGTCATTGTGCCATCAGGCCAAGTTTACTCAGAAATTTGTCATCAAATTTGCATCAAAGTTGTCATCTTGTCTGTTACACAGAAAGTCCTTTTCAGCTGACCTGAAAAGGAGCATGACACAGTGTAACGGTTTATTTCCCACAGATGGAATACTGCAACTGCTA